TAGAGGAGACACAGCATGGACACTAAACAGAACACAAAATAAATGTTCACTAAGCATGTGCACGGAAAACAAGAGGACAGAGAACAAGAGGACAGAGAACAAGAGGACAGAGAACAAGAGGACACGAAACAAGAGGACACAGAACAAGAGGACAGAGAACAAGTGAACACAGAACAGGTAAACACAGGACCTCAAGCAGTACTCTCAATCGCCTGTAACACAGCTCATCTCATGTCACACTCACTGTGTATGAGTACATACACAGTGAGTACATACATGTTGATGTATGTACTCATCATGTATGATGAGTACATACATCAACATATATGTATGATGAGTACATACATCAACATATATGTACTCAGTGTACATACATGTTAACTAGCATAGCAAATGAACAAGCACGTATATTCTAAATATATAAACAAAGCCTCTGAACCCCCTATTCCCTCCCCCCTAAAAAAATAAAGAGTGTCTCCCAAGAATTGATATAGAGTGCGTATTGCCCTCGCTGAAGCACTCCTTCGACGAGTGCACTCAACGTCGACATTCGCACGCTACCTGCACGCAAAACTGGACCTTGCACTCGGGCTAGTATTGCAAGGCTCTTGCTACACCCATGTATACTCAGTGACCCGAGGGAGTGAATGTATTACACAGGCGCTGTAGATGTAATGCTGGAAAAAGAGAAAATAGATAAGAACAGAGAAGAATAAATGCGAGAAATGAAGAGAAATAAGAAAGGTGGGTGAGATAGCGAGGATTAAGTGGCGTCATTGTTGTTGTTTAAGATTCGCTACCCGGAACAAAAAGTTCCAAGTAGCACGGGCTATGGTGAGCCCGTAGTGGACTTAACGGTATAGTGATCTCGCGGGAGCAGAGTGGCACTCCCACGAGGTCTGACTAGCCGTCACATTGGCTGGGGCCATCAACAGGTTCCTGGAGTGCCATTCCCACCTGTGGTAGTGCGCTTGTTGGGGTGGTATAAGCCACTTCCTGGTGGGTAATTGTAGTCCAGCCGGGTAGTTTCAGGGGTCTATGTCTCCACCGGGTAGTTTCAGGGGTCTATGTCTCCACCGGGTAGTTTCAGGGGTCTATGTACTCCACCGGGTAGTTTCAGGGGTCTATGTCTCCACCGGGTAGTTTCAGGGGTCTATGTCTCCACCGGGTAGTTTCAGGGGTCTATGTCTCCACCGGGTAGTTTCAGGGGTCTATGTCTCCACCGGGTAGTTTCAGGGGTCTATGTCTCCACCGGGTAGTTTCAGGGGTACAACTATGTCTCCACCGGGTAGTTTCAGGGGTCTATGTCTCCAACGGGTAGTTTCAGGGGTCTATGTCTCCACCGGGTAGTTTCAGGGGTCTATGTCTCCACCGGGTAGTTTCAGGGGTACAACTATGTCTCCACCGGGTAGTTTCAAGACTATAACTGTCTCCACCGGGTAGTTTCAAGACTATAACTGTCTCCACCGGGTAGTTTCAGGGGTCTATGTCTCCAACGGGTAGTTTCAGGGGTACAACTATGTCTCCACCGGGTAGTTTCAAGACTATAACTGTCTCCACCGGGCAGTTTCAAGACTATAACTGCCTCCACCGGGTAGTTTCAAGACTATAACTGCCTCCACCGGGTAGTTTCAAGACTATAACTATGCCCGTCTACTCTTTGACCAATACTGGTCTAACAACAGCTGTGTAGATTTCCTAGAAAGGGTCTTTGTTTTGGTTTCTAATTGACGTTTTAATGTTCGCCAGCGTCCCATATGCCGCCGATGACATCCTGCCTATGTGTGCCCTCCCTGGTGCTTGTGTTGGAAAATGTCATTTTCGTTAGAAAATGAGTGTGTGTGTGTGTGTGGGTTGAGCTTTGCTCTTTCGGCCCGCCACTCAACTGTCAATCAACTGTTTACTACTTTTTTTTTCCTCCACGCCACACACACACACACACACACCCCTGGAAGCAGCCCGTGACAGCTGACTAACTCCCAGGTACCTATTTACTGCTAGATAACAGGGGCATTCAGGGTGAAAGAAACTTTGCCCATTTGTTTTTGCCTGGTGAGGGAATCGAACCCGCGCCACAGAATTACGAGTCCTGTGCGCTACCAACCAGGCTACCAGGCCCCCTAAAACAGTATTATTGTTATTGCGTTTGTACTCGCGACTTAAATAACACCTACCACACACCTTATCACCCAGCCACCATATAGAGAGGCCACTATAGAGAGTGTGTGTGTGCGTGCGTGTGTTTGTGTGTGTGTGCATGTGTGTGTGTGTGTGTGTGCGCGTGCATGGCGTGTGTGCGTGCCTGCATGTGTGTGGATAAGGATATGTGCGCGTGCATACGTGTGTGTGTGCATGCGTGTGCGTGCGTGTGTGTGGGGGAGCAAGGACGTGCGCGCGCGCGTGGGTGATGCATCACACGCACACACAGAATATGGAGCACCACACTTACCATCCAGTCCTTGCAACAATGGGAGCAACACTTGAATTATTAATCACAGTGTTGCGAGCACTGACACACACACACACGGCTGCGCCTCTCCACCAACAACACGCACCAAACATCCACCTGTTTTCCTTCTCAGACTACGAGAATATATTGATCGTCCTTTCATCTTCTAGTGTGTGGTTTGGTCCACATTCTTCAGCCACGTTACTGTCACTCAACATTTGCATAGAAGAATATATATATATATATATATATATATATATATATATATATATATATATATATATATATATATATATATATATATATATATATATATATATATATATATATATATATATATATATATATATATATATATATATATATATATATATATATATATATTATTAAATATGACCGAAAAAGTAAGATTAATAATTCTAACACGAATTTTCTCAATCTTTCGTACATTTCTTTTCACTGTTGGAGGTAAATCAAAAATCAATTCTCCAAAATTTGTTTTTATTTCTAGGTTGACGCGACACGAGCGCGTTTCGTAAAACTAGTAGATGGGGTCGCCATGGGTTCTCCCCTAGG